CAGCAGTGCCTTCAGTACTAAAGTTGTTTTTTACTTTAAACCTCAAAACGTGCACCATCGTGGTTATGGGTTTCTGACAAACTGATCCACTCTACACCAACTTCAAGAGGCTACAAGCATTAAATTGCTTTGTCCTGTTTCCCTTCTGTGAATAGCTTCAAAATAAATAAATGAGGAATACTTCTACACAGCAGCCAGTAGGGGCTGACACAGGACTAGGTTCGTGAAATTCACATTCCCAACTCTGGCATTAGGTAGACTGAGAGCCACAAACCAAGCAGAAGAGCCAGGACCCAAAAGAAATGCAGTAAAATTGGTATGGATCTGAACAACTCCAAGACCAATGGCCCAGATCTGATGCTTCAGTTGTTGTTGGGACAACACAAGGCTGCACGAGCTGGAATTCTGGATGATCACAAATGCTAAAGCAAAAATCCAGTGACACATTTTGTGAGAGGTTCCTCACATCTGGGAGGCTAAAACTGAAACTGCAGGAAACACACCTCAGTCCTACAGTGATAAACGCAATAGACAACAGATCTCACAAACAAGAACTCACCCAAAGGGTTGTTTTCATCCTCAAACTGCCAACAAACATCAGAACACAGAATCCATTTGCCTTTCCCTTTCCATTTGTCCATAGAAATGCCTGTAACTCCTTGAAAACTACATGAAGAAGTAGGTTCTCAACTCTGCTCTCAAAAATGCACTTAGCTGCTGAAGCTGGATTTTCTTTCTGCATGTAGTATGGTAATAGAAATAAATGCACATCCTTACTTATTTCTAAGAATACAAAACACAGGAGACTCAATTTTTTTTTTACAAATTTAATGAATTACAAATCTTCCCAGTAAAATGCACTTCTTTTAAAAAACATTTCAACATAGCAGTTTTGCTAATAAATCTATAGGTTTGTTGTTTTTTTTTTTAAAGAATATTTACACAACTTTAATGAAAAATAAGACTTAAGCACATGAAACTACGCAGAAAATAGCTTACAATTAAATGGATTGTAAAGCAGCACGGCTTCCTGGCTGCTGTACTGATCAAAAGAAGGGGATAAATACTATTAGAAAGGATTTATTTTTATATTTGCCATTCTGCACAAGCACCCCATGGTTTAAGAACCACTATACAGACAAATCTACTAAGAACAGGTATCTATGCTGTGTCTGTAAACACATCAAGTGAAGCACTTCTGTTACATCACGATTGCTTTACAAAACCTGAATTTAAAACCCGAGTGCAATTCAATTCATGTTAAAAACTTGTTCAATTACTGAATTGTTTTTAAAATTGCTTCTGAATCTGTGAAGGCTATTTTCTGGTTCTTGCACTGGTTCTTGTGCTTGATCTTGTTCTCCTGTCTGTTCCTCCAGGATTCCGAGTTGCTTTTACACCCGTTCCGTGAAGTTCTTCTTTGGCTTTGTTTCTTCTTCCTCTTTTGGGTGATCTGTTTTCATCATTATCTATTTGTAGACAGAAACATCAATTGGAAGTTTATATTATAAATGAAACATTTCATACAAAGTCAGTCTTCAGTCACATTGTTTTTCAAGAAATCCCCAGTGACCACATTCCAAAGATTACATCCATGAATTCAACAAACCAGCTACAAAACCCACACTTCTGCACATCCAATATCCTTCAAGATAGATCCCCACGGACTTACAGCTATTCCGGAAAGTAGGTTAGCATTAATGAGAGCACCAAAACCAATTAGCAACCATTTCAGCTAAAATTCATTCCACTGATACGCAAAACTAAAATACATCCAATGCTAGAGAAAAATCCAGCAAAAATGAATTTATAGGAAGAGTTGCATGGCACACCTACAGCTAAGTCGGGCTTTTAACTGTAAACAAAAGACTGGATCTCTATGTAAGAACCTAGATAGCAGAGAACAAAGCTGCTCTGAGAGATGAGCATCAAGCCAAACATCACACAAGGAAACCATCATTAAACCCACAAGGGAAAAGACAACCTCCCCAGAAAAGAAACTATCCAGGCAGGTAGGAAAGCACAGGTACAGGTGACTCATTTGGGATGTACACATAGCAGAGTCAGAAAGTGGAAACTAACAAATATCTAAAGAGAAGCAAAAATTTATAAACTGAGAGAGAAAGATGGCTAAATTGATAAGCATGTTACATAAAGGTTACCCAGAAGCTACAGATGCAGGAGCAGGAATTCAGATGATATTTAGGAGAAAACAAGCGTGAACGATGGGTCTTAAAGATGCAATGCTCATGTTATACCATTACCTGCTACTCCTGCAGGTCAGTTAATTGCCGTATTACTCTAAATTGAAAGTTGCAGATTGAGAGAGAACATGCACAAGGGCATTTGAATATCCCAGTAGAGAAATACAAGCGTCACGTCCATAAAAATCAATTCATCCCACTTAGGAAAAGCATCTTTTTCGAATAGGATAACACAGCTGCTCTTTACTTAAGAATTCTTGCTGTATTAAAGAACCACTCCTTACCTACATTAGCCTATGGCAGTCTGCAGTAATATTAGATCTTTACACACATTGTTCTATCAATACCCAACTTAGCTACACACAGAAAATAGAAAGTAAATTGTTGCCTCACCTGATTTTAACTTTTTGGGTGCTAAGACATTGGGTGCTGGCAATTGACATTTTCTTCTGCGAGAAGTGGAAGCTGGCTGTGGAGCAGGGCTAACCTCTTTCCTAGGCTGCTTGTTTTTCTCAAAACCAGTAGATGCCAAACACTTATTTTGAGTTCCTGAAGTGTTATCATTTTCTGGCAAGTTGCCCTTATCATGGAGAGAAGTAGAAGGAGCTGCCTTTGATTTGAATTCTACCTTTTCCCTCTTATTTCTCAGCTGCCTACGGTTTTCCTGGGATGAGCTCTTTTCCAGAGATGTAACTTCATCTTCATTAAGATTTCCCTTTTGCCTTCCGTTGTTGCAGAAGGTACGTTTTTCCCTGAGAAAACTGGAACTAATACACTCAGATTCGAAAGAAACTGTTTTTTTTCTGCCCAATCTTGATGGATTTTCTTCTGAAGATGGAGTTACTTCCAGAAGCATACTCTGCTGTTTCTCTGGGGATTCATTCTTACCATCTTCTGGCAAGTCCTGAAGAGACCTAGAGTTAACAGGCTGTGAAGTGCTATTTTTTGTCCTCGTGTTGCCTTTTGAAAGATCTGTTTTTTCTTGGGAAGCAGATTTTTCAGAAATCAGGTTTTTAGCTTCCCTATGATTATTCTTTCTACCACTTTCCTTTGATAAGCTGTGTGTTCCCTGAGCAGAACTTGCAGCTTCTGACAAGGTCACTTGATTCCTCCTTCCTCTTCTCAGCTGATTTTCTTTCAGAGATGAAGCAACAGTTTCTAAAGGAACATTATCCTCTTTAGGAGCTTCTTCTCTAACACTGCTTGCTGGTTTTCCTCTAAGAGAAATTGAATTAGCTGTGTGTGACACCTGAGCTTCTTTCCTTCTGCCCCTTCCTAATGGGTTCACTTTTGTGAGGGACACTGATTCCAAAGGCTTATTTTTTTCTCCATTAGTATTCGCCTCTTTATCACCATTTTGTGACAAGCCACACTTCCCCTGGAGAGAAGATGAACTTTTTGCCTCTGCTGCTAGATCCATCTTTTTTCTTTTGTCCCTTGCTGATGCATTTGTCTCTGCCTGCAAAGTTTCATTTCCCAAAGCTGGATTTTGATCTTCTTTCACAGTCGTCTTTTTATCGTCACCTTCTTGCAAGCCACGTTTCTTTCTGATAGAAAGAAAACTTGTCACTTGTGATGCTACAGCAACCTTTCGTCTTCTTCCCCGTCTCGGTGGATTGTCTTCTGTTGAAGAGGGAGTAGTTTCCAAAGCTGGATCGTGGTCTTTTACAGAAGTCTCATCTTTACCATGATCTTCAATTAAGGTCTGCTCTTTTGTAAAGGTAGAACAAGTCGCTTGTGGAATGGAATTAACTTGCTTTCTTCTGCTCCTCCTTATTTGAGAAGAAGGATTTTCTGAAGTCTCTTGCTGACCAGGTTTGTAAGTCATTCCTTCCTCGTCCCCAGGTGAGCTCCTTCTTTGCCCAAGTGCTTTGGAACTGGTTTGTTCAAGTTCAGAATTAACTTTTCTAATTCTACCTCTTCTCCTCGTAGAGCCATTGTTTTGTGTTTGATTCTCTTGCAGAATTTCAGTTTGCTTTGATTTTAGTGCCTGTTCATTTTCTGTCTGCTCTTGATGGCTATGAGCACCACTGTCACTGTTTACAGCAGTAACTGTTGTGACAGATGTGTAGTTCTGGTCTTCTTCTATTTTGTCTATCTTCTTTTCATCAACACAGCCTGAAGGCTCTTTAGGAGCAGATTCCTCCATTTCTGTTTCTGATTTCAATTTGGGTGTTATTAGCTCTGAGCTATCTACATTTTTAGCAGATTCATCAGTCTTTTGCTCTGAGGAGGCCTTCTTACCTCTCCTGCTCCTAGTTCTGTTTGTTTCTTGCACTGTGCTGTTTGATTCCAAGACTAGAACAGTAGTTGGCATTTTGTTTGTTTCTCCAGGAGGTGACTGTGATTTTAATCTCCGAGATGTTTCTGTTGTATTTGCCTGAGTATTTTCAGCTTCATCTCCCAGAGACGCTTCCCTCTCATTTTTGGTGGATGACCGTGTTTCAGTAATAGTTTCATCCAAAGTTTCCTTGATTTTCTGAACGTTCTGCGTATTTTCAGGTGCCATCCCACAAATGTTAGATTTTACTTCTGTCAAGTGTTTTCTAGCATTTCTTGAGTTAACTCTTTTTTGTGTTATCTTCATTTCAACTGTGGCTCTGTTCTCAGATAGTTCTGCTGGAGCAGTCTCAAAAGCCCGCTCATCCTCTTGTATTACCTTTGCAGATGGTTGTTTACGAAGCCTCCTTGCTGTTGCATGAAGCTCCTCTGAAGAAGCTTGCTTAACTTGGTCATTCTTGGCTCTCCTTCCTCTTTTAGGGGCAATTGGTTCTTCTGCATTTTCTACTTTTCTCACTTCTCTAGCCCTCTTCCTAGGCAGAAGCATTTCTTCACTGTCTCCTGGACTGGCTTCATTAGGTGTGTTTTCAGAGTTTTTAAAATCTGTCTGCAGTTGACAATTTTCATTTTGACTGTTCCGAGATGAACTTTCTGCCTTCGTGCTTTGAACATCACCTTTTATTGATACGTCACTGATGATAAAATCCTGCAAAGCCAGTTTTACAGTTGCAGGTTCTTTTTGTAACACCGAAGAATCTTTGCCACAAGACTCAAGGCTCTCATCCGGAAGTTTTAACTCCTCTGCTTCTTTCCTTTTACCTCTTCTGGGTCTTTGAGTAGCAACAGGCATTCCCAAAGTTGAAACAGTTTCAACTTTTTTCTCATCATTATGTTTCGAAATGTTTTCTTCTACCACACAACCATTTGTTCTCCTTCCTCTTCCTAGATTTTTAGCTACTGAACTTGAAGTTCTGACCTCTCCTGTCTCTTCTTGGAAGCTCTTTTTCTCCAGTCCTTGCAATTCTTGTAAATTTAAATCCTTTTCAGTCTGCTTTATTGAAGCAGGATGTACAGCCTTCCTCAATCTGCCCCTGGTTGGTCTCTGGGTAGATTGGTCTTCACTAGTTGACTCCCTCTGTTGAGAATCTTCACCTTCTGAAGTATTTTGTTTGCCTTCTAAAACAGTTTTTTCAACCCATACAAAGTTTTCACATAGAAAAGAGCACAAGCAAAAGTTAATCAGTACTATGCCTGATAAAAGCATTTGTGAGCTTTTCTAGCAGAGTGGTCTTGTATATTTCATATTCTTAATTAAAAAATAGGAAAGTGTGGTGATAATTTTAACAGATTCTAGCCAGCTTGCTGCACCAAGTTGTTTAATTTGATAGTGATAGCCTTCACAGCCTTCAGATGAGTTATTGAAAGTCTTTGCTAAGAAAGGTGATTTTAAATGGTGTTCATTAGTGTTTTTTATACACTGGTATGTTTGGAGATGACACCATTACTACATCAGAACATTATACACCTCTCCACCAATAGAATTTCAGCTCCAGTGAAATTCAGCACCAGGAATTACTGCACACATTTCACAAGCTACTTGCTCTTTGTATACTATATAATTTTGAGTTTTTAAAGCACGTGTTTAAAAAACTTCCTAATAGCAAGTATATTCATTACAACCATTTTTAAAATAAAAGTATTTATACGCACCATGTTCAGGACTGCAATTAGTAGAAGGATGCACAGTATCTTCTTGCTTAGGATCCATAACACTTACTGACTTGACCTAGGGGAATAAACAGTAATCAGTAATTCATGTCTGATGGGATTGGAAATAGTGAAGCTAGCCAATATAAAATTAAAATAGTTGGGAAAAAAAAAAGGTCTTGTTGAGTATTCTTCTCATAAAACAAAGTTAATTTACTATAGTGACTGTATCCATATACAATATTGATACACACAAACTGAATTTCATATTTGTCATCTGAGCTAATGTAGCAGTTTTTAAAGTGAAAGACAACACTGTACAGTTTTTTTAAAAAGTGCATTCACTAAATTGGCTGAAAAGTGTCAAAATAAAATCCCTAAAGAAAGGATATTGATGCTGAGTCATTTGATGTTCTGTAGTGTTTTACTGCAGTTCAGCACAGACAAGCACTCAGCCCAGTGATACTCAGTGTTTCAGCTATGGATTCGGGAGCTTACACAAAAATCAATGCTAGTAAAATGCACAAACAAGAGTAATGAAGCTGTGTAAAATCAGAACGGTAACTCAACATTACTTCAGTAACCACATGGACAGAGCTCCTTCAAGCAAAATGCACACAAATACAAGCAAATGTATAGCATTATAGTTCTCTCTCTGTAGAGTGTCAATTCAGCAAGCAACAAAAGAAAGACTCATAGGAACAATGAGCTATCAAATGACCAAGAGGTTTCACAGTATTTTGGCAAAAGCTTAATACTTATCTTGTTTAAAGAAAAGAGAGCTTTAATATTTAATCTAGAGACTATGAAGAAGCTGTACAAAGAAGCATATATACTTTACTTATGAAAAGGAAGGCATAGTAAGAATTTGACTATACTACATAAGTAATGTAAGAGTGCTATAAAAAGGAAAAAAAAAATTGTTCCTTCATATTTGTACTAAGCTACATCTTGTCAAAGGGGGACACTGACTTGCAAAAAGCTTCCAAGGAAAACACAGGTTGCAATCTTTACTCTTCCCAAATTACCATGGTGTTTTTCATCTAGAGGTCACATGCATGAGCTATTTTAATCAAAATATGATGCAATAAAACATGAGGTAGTATTAATGGCCCAGGGGTTCGTTTCAGCCACAGACTTCAAGTCTAAATAAATTCCTAAACAAACAAACAAATAAATAAATAAGCAAGCTTTACCTTTGTTTTCTCTGGTGTATCAAATATTTCCTTCACTCCAATGTAGTCCACTTCAAACTCAGTATTCTTCTGTCTGGGTTCTGCCATCAGCCTACTCAGACCCACAAAATCATCAACTGGGTGAGATTTCTCTCTGGGAGTCTTCATTAATCTACTAATACCAAATACATCTTCTATGGGTTTAACTTTTTCCTTTGGTGTCTTGAAAATACGGCTGATTCCGATCATGTCTTCTACCGGTTGGGATTTCAATTTTGGAGTTTTCTTAATTAAATTAACTCTTGTCACATCTTTTAATAGTTCTTTTTTTTGTATTGGAGTCTCCAGCAATTTTTCAGAGGCGTTTTCATCTGTAATAGGTTTTGACTTTTGCTGTGGGCCTAATAGGACCTCTGCTGGCTTCAGCTTTTCTTCTGGGGTCTTCATGAGCTGCTTGATGCCTGACAGGGCCTCTGCTGGTTCCGACTTCTGCTTCGGTGTCCTCAAAAGCTGCTTGATGCCTGATAGAACCTCTGCTGGTTCTGACTTTTGCTTTGGGGTTCTCAAAAGTTTCTTGATGTCTGACAGGACATCTGCTGGTTCTGACTTCTGCTTTGGGGTCTTCAAAAGCTGTTTGATGCCTGACAAGGCCTCCACTGGCTCTAACTTCTGCTTTGGTGTCTTCATGAGCTGCTTGATGCCCGACAGTACCTCTGCTGGCTCCAACTTCTGCTTTGGGGTCCTCAAGAGCTGCTTGATGGCTGACAGGACCTCCGTTGGTTCTGACTTCTGTTTTGGTGTCTTCATGAGCTGCTTAATGCCTGACAAAGACTCTACAGGCTCCAACTTCTGCTTCGGGGTCCTCATGAGCTGCTTGACACCTGACAAGGACTCTACAGGCTCTAACTTCTGCTTCGGGGTCCTCATGAGCTGCTTGACACCTGACAAAGACTCTACAGGCTCTAACTTCTGTTTTGGGGTCTTCAGAGGCTGCTTGATGCTTGATACAACTTCAACTGACTCCAACTTCTGACTTGGAGTTTTCCTTTTATTTGGTGACCTCATGTGAGATGCTTGTTTCTCTGGATTTACTGACACACTATCCATGCCAGTATCTTCTTTCAGCATACTTTTTCTCTTTTCAGGAGTTTTGGTGGATACTGCATCAAACACAGACTTTAGAGACTCTCTCTCTCTCAGAAAGTAAGAGATGTCTTGAATATCCTGTTTCTGTTCTGAAACATCTGAAGCATTTAATGGCGACACCACCATCTCTCCTGAAACAAAAGGTAGGTTTATACAATTTGGAAGAAACAAGAACCAACCAATAAAAAACAGTAAATCTAACCACACTAACTGCTGTATAGCTAAGCAGAAAACAGACTCAGAAAGCCCAAGCATTCTAATAAGCTAAAATCCAACAATGTGCTTCAGCAATCAATTTGGTAATTAGCATTAAGATAATCAGCTCCTATAAGGCACAGCATAAATCTACAACAACGAGTAGAGGTTACAAAAGAAACCAAGATTTATCAATCTGACATAAAAAATGATTTTATCAATGCCTCTTCTATAAACATTGGATTATTTATTCTTATTTTTTTCTTTTGCTAGATGCTCATCTTTACTAAATTCTTAAGAAAACAGAATTGAACAGAACTGTGATGAATTCTAAGCTGTACAAGGACACAATGACTGGTATGCAATTAAAAAAAATACACCTACTTCCTGTTGTAAGATGTTGCCATTGGACAAAGTCCACAAATAACCAACTAAAGAACTGCTACGCTTCAACAAAAGATTTGCCTGAAGCTACACTTTATCATATGGAAATGTCACACTAAATCCAAATACTAAAAAAATTAAAGCCTACAAGAAATTACTGAAGCCACAAAACGTTTTTTTAATACATTATAGATATTAAAATATAGTTGCAAAATATCTTGTCTCTACACCAAGTCTGTCTAGCTCAAGACTGTTCGCTGTCTCAAATAACTGTAGACACTATTACCTTACACGTACACATAAGTCTTCCTTTCCAAACAACATACCAGATTCTTCAGGAGTTTGCAGATCAGAAATCTCCATTGCAGTGAATGGTGGTGTAAAATTATGAGCAGTGGTCAAAGCTAAGGTTTTTCCACCCTTATTGTCTGGTGTTTGAAACATCTCGGTCAGTCCTATAAAACACATTCAAAACAAAACAAAAAACATACACTAAAAACAAAACCCACACATCAAATCAAACCAAATCAGTATCAGAAAACCCCACAGTTGACAGAACCAGTAACAGATTTTAAGATTTCACAGCTTACCTGTGAAGTTTTCATCCATGCTCATGTTCTGTTTCAAGATTGGATTTTTTACCACTTTAGGGACCTTCCCAGCTGTTTGAACTGTGGTGGAATAAGCTCTACCCACAACTATTGTAGCAGGAGACTCTGCATGACCTGTACTAAAATGACCTTTTATTTTTCTTTCTGGTGTCTACAGCAAGAAAACAAAAAAACAACACCAAAACCATTAGTAAATATTGTATATTTAAAACCAAATGAGAATCATGCAAGACTGCCACATATTTATTGCTCTTGTTTAGTTAATAAATGCTGTTTGTTCAGCATACAGAAGCTGTTAAATTGCAGCTAAACTAAAGGGTTAGATCTCTGTGAAACACAGCTTGTATCTTCTGTTAGAATTTGAGGGACTGTGCTCAACAAGCCACGTGATGAGTACTCTTAGCTTAAGGAATGCTCAGAGATTACCCTGAGAGTGCTTCAGTCTTACTCCCTTTCATCTTCACAGAATCAACTATCTAGTTGATCTATTCAAGGTCATCAAGTCCAGTCATCAACAAGAAGTGTTTAAACTAAAATAGACACTTGTCCAAATGGCAGTACAGTTTGACTGTAGACCAAGGGCAAATACTTAATCCATCTACCCAATGTATTTGGTCATTTAGACATACTCTTACGACGCTTTGATTACCCTAAGTTCACTTTCAGTTAATGAAACTTGGTATTTATTTCACATGCTCAACATAGCACAGAATCCAGACACTTACCTAGTCCTTAACTACTGCTAGCACCTAATGGAGCTCACCAGAAAGAATAACTAGACATGATTCTTGACTTCTTACAAGTCACAATATTCTTACAAACCATGAAAAAGACACCAATACCATTTAACATCTTCCTAAAAACTTACAAACTTCAAGCTTTTGTAGCAAAACACCTACAAGCCTTTTATAGTTCAGCAAACCCACACCCTTTAAATAGCAGTATAAGAATGTACCTTTGGTGAGCGTGTGATTTTCCTTGCTGGTCTTCCTTTCTGAACACATTTTTTGACAGCCTTTGCCTGTGGTCTTGCAACACCTAATTTAACCACTTCTGCCCAAGTTTTTGCAACTAGAAAACAAAACAGGAATAACAACCTGAATTCTCAGTCGTGTAAATAGGAGTTCCTACCTATTTCTTTATGATTCCAAAGGATTTGTGGCAGTCAAACATCAGAAATCAGAAGTTGTATCATCTGATGGCACCTATACTCAAGTGCTGCATGAAGACACTTCCAAATGAAGATGCTATTTCAAGCTGAAGCTTAACAAGCATCCAGGATAGTTTTGTTTCCATGACCAAAGAACAGAAAGACTTACACAATGTCATACACTACAGAACCTGGAACTGAAGGCTGACCCGATTCTGTCTTCATACTTTTCATCAAGGAAATACTTTCCCCAACAGAAATTTGCCATCAGATTCTCAGCCCTGCTCATTATTATAGCAGAACTCTTCTTTGGCAGAATGAGGTTTTAAGTCAGAGAAATGATTTTTAAGGGAAACGTACTGATTTTTCCTTCATCACCTAACCAAGAAACTTTGTCATCATGAAATTATGTATTTATACTGCTTAGAGCATTTAGGTACACGTAGAAATTCTGTAACTTTCTTATACTACCTTCATCACATGTCTCTGAAAATTGCCATGGTGTAGCTATCATTCTGTACACAGTAATCAGGAAATTAATCACAGCTGTGTAATAAAGCTGTCAGCTGGCAAGGCACCTGCCTCATTTACTGAAGAAATGGCAACAAGAAGACTTATAAGTAAAGATAAAAATGGGAATGCGAGTTCTCAAGATATTCTGAAGATATTATTTTCTTGTCAGTTACTGTGAAAGTTAGGGAAAGTTGGCAAAACAAAAATCAAAAGCTGTCATTACTAGATGTGCAGAATATAAAGACGAAAGCCAACCATACAGGGAATTATCTAAAAAAAAGAACTGGGAAGACAAAGTTCTCCCAATTAGACATCCAAAAATAAAAAAAGTAATTGAAAATAATGGTGCTATTTTCATTTTACAGAAGAAATTGATGCACAGATACTAAAAACCACTTACATACTAGAAATGGAGTGGAAAAAGTGTCAAAAATTTGTGAAGAACTCTTGCTGATAAGTGAATGAAACAGACAAAGCAACTAAAAAAACCACATTTTGCTTTCAGCAGCATTACTGAGGAAGGCCTGTGATTGTATCTGTATATAGTGCAACAATCACTGGGATACTGAATGCATACTGAATGTGTAGCTCACACTCTAAAAATGGTACTACAGAAAAACGGATTTAGAAGAGAATGATAAAAACTACCAAATGAATGTTGGGGGGGAAACCTTAAATTTCACCTTGAAAGAGTCATTTGGACCTATTTCCTTAAATTAAAATGACATCCTGTCTTAAAGTATCTTCACAAACATTACATTTTCAAGAGCAAGTCTCAGTTTTTCCAAGGGCACCAAAACTATTTCAACCAACATTCAAATTGGAAGGACCCAACGGCTCATTACAGTTAACCTATCAAACAAAACCTTAATTCTACCATTTATAAACTTTGGAGTATTAAGATTTACATTTAAAAGCTTTAGTAATTTATTTTTATATGTAAGAGAATGTAAAATCTTGCAATTTTCAGATGTTTCAGAAAATCCAAAATCAGAATACGTGAAAATCATTGACGACACGGGTGTAATCAATTAACAACAGGTCTAATTCAATCTTGCCACCATTCTTTGCAGTATTTAAATTCGTATTAAAAATTAACTGCAGAAACAAACCTAGTAAATTGGCACTAGAAGCACCACTTCTTCTTTTCGCACTGAGTACTGCTACAGCCCCGCTTCTCCTCTTCATGGGAGTCTTCTTCAAAGCATGTTGTGATCTTCTGGTTAATTTGTTAGGTGTAGTCATCAAAAAGGATTTCTCATCTTCTTTAACATGAGCAGATTTAGGTGTTTGCACTTGGCCAGCATTTTCCTCCTTTGTACTCGTATCTTTCACACCTGCATTCTGCTCTTCTGCAGTGGGGGATGGAGTTGTTATTTGAGAAACAGAGAAACGTCCTTTTGTGTAAGGTGGAGAGCTTAAAGTAAATGTTGGTGTTGCTTTTCCAGAAGCAGAGGATGAGCCAGGTGGGGACTTCTGTGCTGACACACTTCTTGGTGACATTTTTTCTTTCTGCAAATGTACACTCAGTTCCTGATAGAAAATAATAGAAGTGAAAGACAAGTTACTGCACAAAGCTCAACTACAAATGAGCTCCACTTATCTGAAAAGTAAATACAGTCCTACAAAATATCATGAGATCGTTTGAAAATCCTTAGACATTACTCTCTAAAAAGAAAACACGTAACAGTGTTTAAATTTCAGAAGTCCCATTCAACTGAACATATTAAGCAACTTTATTATTCAACTCAAAACAGGTTTACCCAAATAAAGTACCCTACAAAGTTTTACCAGCTTAAAACAGCAGCAAAACGTTTTCCAATTTATGGTGAAGCCACGTAACAGTAGTTTGCACATTCTGCCAAACTTCTGCTCTAGACTGTGGCTATTTTCAATTCGTTATGGCAAACTGGTGCTGGCAAGCACAAACACACAGAAATGGACTCCTACATACTCATACATACATATGAGAACAAGCAAAAGCACAGGAGGTAAAAAGCACACACCCAGAGGACAAAGACAGGTAGACAAAGGTAGACTGCACCCCTTCCTCTTAAGGAGGAAGTTTGCTGATTAAAACTTGCTATTTACAAGTGCCATCTTAAATTGCAATTACTATGTCCACTTCCAAACACATACCGAAACAAGACATCATCTTCATTTTGAATTCACTCTTAGAAGCCTTTGAATTTCTAAATTCCATCCACGTTAATTAGCTTAGCAACTTGATTAGCTTTAGCATTGGACGTTTACCTGCATTGCAAAGTGCTTCAGTCCCTGGCCCTTTTTCAGGACTGCCCGTGGTGAGTTTCCAAATGGTAAGCTCAGCCTTGCAGGAATGGCACCTTTTTTAATGGGTGAGTTGGGAGGCAAGCTTTTATCAAAGAGTTCTGGACTCAGATGACCACCAAAAGACACTCTTTTTCTTTTTCCTAAAGGCTGAGGTAACAAATCACCACTTGTCCTCTTCTGAGATTTCCTTTTATCTATAATAAATAGCAATAAAAGAAAATGACCAAGAAAAAAGGAAGTGACCCTGTTAAACAACATAGAAAACAGTGTTTGTATGTGCATTTTGAATTTGGAAACTTACCAGATGGTAACTAATTTAGATACAAAATTTTACCCAATTGAGTTACCCACTGTGTAATTTTAAGGTCAACTACATGATAAACACCTTAGAATTAATTCTGTATTCTACTTAAGCAAAGAAATTCTAACACCAGTAGAATTTCCTCAATTCAGTTCTAACAAGGCATGAGATTAAACCTATTTACCTGGTTGCTCCTCAGTTGACAGGCCAGAAGTATTTCTTTCTGAAGGAGTCTCATTCT